CGCAATGTTGTGCAAACTCTAATCGTGTCCCCAGTGTATTGCCCATTGTCTAGATGGTGTGCCGTAACTATATCCTTGGTAGGAACACGCAGGCAAGTCCCAGCTCCTCACAGAACAGATGGACGACCTTTCGCTAAAGGTAGTATAGGTGCTTGGGAATCTGGTCCATAGTGGTACCGTCATCACAACCAAGCGCCTACAGATAGTACACGTAGTATATCCTTAGCTAGATGTTCGGACCTCACACTAGCTCTCTGGAGCATGATTTATTGGCTTATATGGCCCTAGTGAGTAACAACAGACACAAAATTGAAAGATTTCACACCTGGTCACAGGGCCAGCCTATCATCGCGCTGCCCTTGATTTCCTGTATCAGGGAAAATTGTACATCAGTCCTTGGTCCGACTGCCATTCCCATGTTACAACATTGAATACGATAACAGGATTGTGTATACTTTTGCCGTAGTAAGGTAAATAAAATATAACTACCCCATCCAAATTTGTGACCAACTTGCCCCTTGAATGGTAGTGAGCTGAACACATCCAACAGGAGGGTTCTTGGCCAAAGATAAGCTTAAGGCACGCCGAAAGAGCGATGATGGATCTGATTACACGGAATTATGGACCATTGTCGAAGAATGTGCAAAATTATCACGGGTTGCGAGATTGTCAACAATTTAGTGATAATTGTTCAACAATTGTCAAATCTGGGTTTTCCTGATGCATCAACCACATCATTCCTCAACTTTGGCAGGCGCATGACGCCATCTGCAGATGCTCTGTTCTATGGCTAACTGCGAGAGGGTGTCGCTTGGAACCAATCTGTTGCTCTTGAAGCGAAGCTTCACGCCGACTCACACCAAGAGGTGAATGATCTTGTTATCGCGCACATGATGAACAACACATGCACTTGAGATTTCCCCTTTCGGCACTTCCTGCTCTCAGCCACAAACGGACGATCGACAAATGATAAAGCGGATCTGCGGTCAAATTCAAGTACTCTACTCACGTATATGGCTCCAATGTGTACTGTACAAGGCAAACATATGTATTATGGTCAAAATAATCTCTGTCCTTGGAACGGCCCTTGGGCGGGGTCGGTTCGCGTATATCCGGAGTGGTGGGCGAAGCAACATGATAATCAGAGCGGTAATGGGAAGTATGTAATGCATGGACAGCAAGACAGGGGGTATTATTCACATTATGTACACCAGGGTCGGTGTTCTGTAGCTTGTTCACTGCTGCGGTTCAGAAGTGGGATTGGGCTGAGTGAAGGGGCTAGTAAGCAGTGGTTGGAGTCTTGAATTAGATCCAAGACACTAAAGGCGTGCACGATACACTGCGTGCCCTTGGATAGACGCGACCAAGTCACAGTGGGTCGCTGTGTAGTGATGGCAAGGTTCGGTTCGGAAATAGGTTCGAACCTGAACCTCAATTGAACCCCAAAGGCCCTGTTTTAACCCGTATTTTCTCGAATTTTGCACACAATTTCACTGGTTACCAGCAGTTACCCGTGTTCCGCCACAGAGTTAAATCAGCTGGAAAAATGTAGAGACATACTGCCATTTTGTAGATAGGAAAGATGCCACTCGTCGCCAACCTCCAGCTGGCTCCTCACAGCCTTGTGCACAGTGAACATGAGATTGATTTGAATAAATGTTCAAAATATATATATGGTTCGGATAAACTTATGGTGAGACACTGTGGGAACTAAAAGCACTTCATATGAGCACCAAAAACCACTCACATTTAGTGCTTTTCCCTTGGAAAACACTGACATGGAGTGCCTAAAAGCACTCCATGGTAGTGCCAAGTTATCAAAAACCATCTTATATGGAGTGCCCTGGGCACACTGGGGGCAAAGGCCGGGGCACCTGAAATACAGGTGCCTTGGCAAGAGGTTCGACGCATGTGAACAGTGAATCCTTTGAGGACACCAAACATGTCTTGAAAGAATGATAATGAACTCTTTGCACGTCAAAGCGTTCACAAAAAGAAGACAAAGAGCAGGCACAATTTCCTGTCACCCCCGAAATTGTGCCTGCCCTTTGTCTTCTCTTTGTGAACCCTTTGTCGTGCTAAGGGCTCATTATCACCCTTTCAAGATGTGCTTGGTGTCCTGCAAGGAGCTGCAGACACATGCAGAGTACCTCTTGCCAAGACACCTGTCTTTCAGGTGCCCTGGCCTTTGCCCCCAGTGTGAGTGCATTAGAGCACTACTTGCGAGTGTTTATGAGTACTCAGGGGAAGTGCCCGAGCACTACATGGCAGTGCTTTTTCCGTGGTCCAGTGACTCGAAAAAAACATAGGCTTCGGTGCGAGGAGGTTTACTAAGGTTCGACCCTGGGTCGGGGTGTTGAAGGAACACACCGTTATTTAGAATAAATGCGAATTGGGGGAATCAAACCAGCGACCTCCTAGCATTTCCAACAAAATCCAAGCCAGCAACGTAACCTATCGACTATCATGACCATCGCAAGCCCTGATGTGGGATTAATATGGTGCAGCGGCTCCCAGTGCTGGCCATAAACAGTAGCCAAACAACTTTGACTGTCCGACACACAAACGGAACTTTACTGTCCATATTCAGGTTGCCATATACCCATTGGGAACCTCATATGGCACTGAAATACCCAAACAAGCACTCCCGGGTGTTTGGCGACGTGAACTCAGGTGAAGTGCTTTGGCAGTTAGTGCCTCTGGAGCACTCAGAAATACTGCCCTGAAAAACACTACCAATTGATGGCCTCAGGCTGAGTGCTTTTTTTGCATAAATAGTGCTTAGGACTCATATGTAGTACTTTTACTTTCCACAGTGGAGATGCTGAGAGATTCGATGCATAGGTCTGGACTTGTTGCGCATGTAGAATTTGAACTTAGAGTAAACATTATAGTTAGTGGAGCTGAGCAGTGTATCTGAGTTTTCTCAATACCTGTCTTCACACTGCCGAGGTTGACTAATATATTGATGGTCAAGTGCTTTGCATCGGATCGCATGTTGAAAATGTCTCAGATGTGAACCCCAATAAATTAATGGAGTGGACAGAAAGTGTATACCTGTATACCACTGTTGGATTTTCCAATTACCAGTGAGAGTTCTGATGCCCTCCTCAGTGTTTGATGCATCCTGAGAAATATGTATGTACACCCGTCCATCGTTTACGAGAACCTCTTAAGACACTGTGGCTAGCTGTGTGTAGTTGAGCTACACAGGGCCTGCATAGTTGGCTATGCTCAGCTACACATATTTACGAGAACCTCCTCAGACCTGAGCATCGGAGCCCTTGGAACGCAGTGTATGGGGTATAACATACGAAGTACGATGATAAGCCGCAGTAATTTTGACTATTACAACCACGCGTCAGACGACCTCAGCATGCATCTAGAACTAGCATGAGCTCTGAATGGCTAGTTTGGGGCTAAAACCGTTACAGCGGACCCTATAAACAAAGAGGTTAAATTATCCACTCTGCAAACAATGGTTGAGGCCAAGGCAGCACTACAATCAGTACTTTATTCTAAAGTATTGCCTTGTTTTCGCCGAAGTAAAGACGTGACGGATCACGTGACCCGGTCCGAGTGTAGCCGTACAGGAAGGAGCTGTCGGACTTAGCGCCGAGGTCGGAATAGGCGGGTTGGACCAAAAGTCATCACAATTTGTCAGACCCAGGATCATTCCGGAGCTTCGAAATATTAAACTTTCGAACCACTCAACATAGAGATGCGTAAAGGGTACTGGCGTGGAGCTAGGGTAAAGCCCTACTTTATCCGTGATACTAGTAAACGATGGGGTCAGGACCTTAAGAGTCGGGCTCATGAATAACTTCGTTCAAGAGAGGATTTCAACCTCGCGATCGAGTTACCAAGACCGCGACACTGCTCGGGTGACATGCCAGGGCATATAGGGACCAGGCCAGCCAATTAGAGAAATAGCGCAGGACAAATAACATACCAGATAACATGCTGAATATCTGTTTGTATACCAATGGTAGTGTCATCACGTAGTGTAAGCATAATTAGAGTAGTATAAAGGCAGGGCGGTTCTAGCGGTTTAAGCACTGAATCCCACCCCGACGTACCAGAGGCAACCATCATTACCCCTCTGTACCAACGGTTTCGATTTAGGACTTACACTCCGAACACCCTCCTGTCTGGAGAACGTTTGTGAATTTAAGTTTATCTTTGATCTATTTTGTGCAGGCGGTGAAGAACCATCTTGAGTACCTATCCAAACAGGCTGTGAAGAACAGTCTTGAGTACCTATCTGTTGTCCATGTGTGTGTGTCTGTGGCCCAAAGGATCTGATATCCAACCAAAAACCTGAACTTAGGTTCAATTCAATTTACCGGCTTTGCATCGTTATCGTCTTTCAGCTGAGAAGCTTATACTCTCAAACCCACGTACTTGTGTTCGGCTATTGCCAAAGAACACGTAGAGCCGTACAGTCCGAAGCACGTTCTGTGGAACCATACCCAAGGTTCTTCAACACAACTTTACTCGCAATAATCTCAAACTCTCAATTTCCTTAACCTATACTTGTGTCTAACAAGACCCGAATCTGTCGGATAAAGATTGGAGGTGTGACAAAGGAGTGTTTAGTGGTTTAATATTTCATTATTGGGGGCTTGTTTGCACTATTTTTAATTGTTGAGCTAGTTGCTGCATCCTCTTTCGAATAGTGAGGTTTTGTTCATTTTTCATTTGCACACTTTGAGTCCAAGCAACCGTTTCAATGAGCTTCAAGTTGTAGGGTCTGTTTATAAGAGACTAGTGGTTAGCTCCGGATAATTACGAGTACTTATCTTTTTTTTTTTGGAGGTGCGTTTGTTATGACCTTCGGCAACTAATAATGGATTAGCCCCTCGGGTCCGCAAAGAATGTAGGGGACATGTGACCCCACTCCAAAAGGCAGGAATGCTTTTACGCACGAACGGCAGATGCCGATCAGTGTGGGACTCGACCAAACTAAATTGGTAATACCCACTAGAACCCTCCTGGGACGGCTTCACCGGGGTTTGAACCCTCGGCCTTAGCAAGGCCTGGTGATCTCCGATTTACTCAGAAACCAGGGGTGCTGGTAACCATTATACCATGCAGACGAGTACTTATGTAATCGTTTATGATCAACCGACATGAGGTTTTCAAGGTGTGGTCAAAAAATGTCCCAATCTAAGATTGCAAATGAAAATAGGGGCTGTGCTATTGTTTTTAGCGGCTGTATTGAATGGGTATTAGTGGCTGTCGTTTAAATCGGCTTCATATCTTGTGAAAGAAATAGTGGCTGTGTTCATGCTTTGTAATTAGGTGCCAATCGTTGGCTGCGTTCGAATACCACCAGGTGTCTTGCCTTTTACAATTGTTCTTTTCTTCTCTTCTTAATCCTTCACATCACATTCAAGTTGCTGAATTCGCGCTATTTACAGCCGATTGCAGTACCGAAGGCACGAATCAAAATTTCCTGTTTTGGGACATTTTCAAATAATTCCCGATATCTCAGCCAGTTCTTCACCGATTCACTTGAAAATTAGATAGATCTACTGGGCTAGTTCACTCGTAATTAGTGATAGAGATGAATTTGCAAAAATATCATGTATTACACATTTCCTGATTCCGGGCTGTTTTCGGAGCGAAAGCCATCTAGCATGCCGAGTGCATATCCCAGCAGCGTAATATTTTTGGTTTGGACACCAGATTCAACTGAGGAAACATGTGATAGAGCCAAAGGCATGGATAACTGACTTACAGTCCCTACAGATCCCATGGACGCATCTGCCAGTTTTGGCATCAAGAGATATTGTAAGGTTTACATTTATCCATGAATTTCGTAGATTTATGGCTCTATACATGTGTCCTCAGTTGAATATGGTGTCCAAATCAAAATATTACGCTGCTGGGACATGCTCTCGGTATGCTAGACGGCTTTCGGTCCGAAAACAGCCCGGAATCAGAAAATGTGTAATACGTGATATTTTCACATATTCCTCTGTATCAATAATTGCGAGTGAATTAGCCCAGTAGATCTATCTAATTTTCACGTGAATCGGTGAAGAACTGGCTGAGATATCGAGAATTCTTTGAAAATGTCCCAAAACAGTAAATTTTGACTCGCGCCTTCGGTACTGCAATCGGCTGTAATATGTATACGTTGTTGAATACCTTCAGAACTTGGGCTTGAGGAAGGAAGTACGAGCTCCGACACTGGTCCATGCCAAAGTTGGAGGCAGACTATGAGATGGGGATCTCGGGCAAGCTGTTTGACTGGATGCGAATGCTCTACGGTTGCATGGAGTCCGTCGTCACGATGAAGGGGCTCATTCGGAGGTGTTCCACTCTGATATCGGGGTCTTCATTGGTGATCCGGCATCCGCCACCTTTTGGGATCTTTTCTTTGCCGACTTTGCGCTACACACAGACCCGGATAACGTGCTGCTACTAAATATTGTAATGTCGCACCTCGAACATGCCGATGACATGGCTGTCGTCTCGTACTCTTCCGAGGGGCTGCAACGGCACTTGGTGACTTTTACGCGGTGGTGTGGGGACAATCTACTCGAAGTGAACACCTCAAAATCCTGGGTCATGGCCTTCGGACCTCTGCCTGTAAGACTACCGAGGTTTACTCTCAATGGCCATACGGTCAGATATACGGACTGCTTCTGTTATGTTGGACTTACCTTTAAATCTATGACCTCTAATATCTTCTCTTCTCCCTACATTGCTAAGGCTGCTATGGCGCGCGAGACGGGACATACAGTGCTAGGTATCGAAGCATACATCGGGGATCTGCCTCCTCGTGAGGGTCGGCTGCTGTACATGGCATGCATCGACCCGCACTTGGTGAGCGGCGCCGATGTTGTCATTGACGTTGACGACAAGGCACTCGCTAACCTCGAAAAGGTGCAAAATGCCTTCTTACGCCGTCTCCTGGGTCTGAGACAATATCCATGTGCGCGCCTCTTATTTACTGAACTGGGGCTGGTTCCTCTATGCTATCGCCGTCTCATCCTCGCGATTCGGTACCTTGGATATCTCGTGGGCCTCGCGGACACCCACTACACTCGGGCGGCCCTCCAGGACTCATACGGGTTATTCAAGAATGGGCTCCAAGGGTACTGGATGGACTTGGTTTACGCTCTGAAAAACCTGTGTTTTCCTGTTGACCTGCCGGCATTACCAGATTTAACCTCCCTCGTATGCGCTGAGCTGGGAAAGGCTGTCTATTCTTCGGCTATGAAGCAATTAGAGGCTGAGGTGGCGGCCTCAACACGACTATACTTGCTGCATGATCGGCGGGAGCCGCTGGCGAAGGAGGCCTCGAAGAAAATAACAGTGGTCTTCCGTCATTATCTGGGGCTGATCACCAACGCAAAGCACCGCAAGGCGCTGACTCGCCTGCTCGTCACTCAGCATCCGCTGGCGGTGGAGTGTATGCGGTACAAGTCGCGCTATCATCGCGCGACTGTAGCGAGGGATCCATGATCGCCTACGCCGTTTCGGCTGTAATGCAACCGAGACAGTTGAGCATGCACTATTCTTCCGTGAAGCCGATCCAGGCCTCGGGGATCTCAGAGCCAAATTTGTGGCTGCGATGCAACACTTGGAACCCTGGATTTGTTCCGTTTCACCATGGAATGCAACCAATATCCTCAAATCAATTATCTTCCGGAGGGATACGGTGTGCCGAGTGGCCGAGTTTGCTTACAGCGTGTTTGGGATCTTTGACGCAGCACCAATGGTTTGGCCAGAGGAGAGAGCAGAGTAGAGGTATTCATAATCCCAGTCAGTAATCTAATTGCTGCCTCACAGGTGCCCGAGATCTACAGCCCCGCCGAGAGGGGTCAGCTCGTCGAGGGTAAATGTGTTGTGGCATAGAACAGTACACTCCACACGGCTGATGTACTGTAGCTACACCCCTGGCACGTTTCGAAACGGGACCACGCTGGGTTAATATTATCCTGAGTCTTATCCTGATGGGTTGATCGATGACTGTGGCGCGTTTGATCCCGGGCCGAAGGGCGAGAACATCATTTTGTTAATCCCGAATGGCCGTCCCACCCGTTTCTCCACCACTCCACCAAGTAAGGTCCGAGTTCTTTGTCCATCCACGACTTTTGGGGGTCATTCTCATCGTCTAACATCTGATTGAGACGTGGCGGGGAGAAGCCAAGATGGAAAGCAAGTCACCGGCCATCAACGGCAACTAAGCGTCGGTCCAATCTGCACCATCAAGGATTTTACCGGAGAACCTTGCCATCTCAACTATTACAAACTCCGCATTGCATTTCTAGAGCCGGAAGCCTCGAAAGGTGTTGCTTGCCAGAATAATTTAGTACATAGTAGCGGTCGCTATTGGTTCTTGTACCGATAACTCGTAAAGTTCGTCCCTATCTGCTTAGCAGTCATCAAAAATCTTCATCGTCACTCTACCCAAGAAGAATGAGTCAGTCGGAACTTCAACGTCTCCCAAAACGGTCACGCAAATCTTGCCAGACACTAAGGCAGGTCAGTAATGACCAGATTCATGGACATGCACTCACTGTATGCAAACGGCCTGTCTTGAGTGAGCAACGCGCCGGCCAAGTTCAGGAGCTGACGATCGAATGCTAAACTTAACTCGCGTTCCAGATAATTGTCCAAGTCTAAGGAAGGTCGCTTAAGATAAAAGAGATTGTCGGATCGAAAACGTCGGTCTGTCCAGAGAAGTTACGAGACAGGAGGCGCTCACTTGATAATCTACTTGCCCTGATAGATGTGCCATTGATGCCCGGCACTATGACGCCGTCTGCCACATTTTTCCAGCGGTAGTGCATCCTTGGGTTGGACAAGGCGACAGTTTCTTTGTTGATGAAATCGTGTAGAGAGCGAAGGAGATGGGAACGAAAAGACAGCATTATTTTGATATCCGCCTGAGTACCCCTCGAAATTTATGTCAAGCGACGGCGAAAGTTTAGGCAGTCCCTGATTCACTTCCAATCTAGGGATGATCAGCAAGCGCGATGCCTTTTTTTTAGCCCGGATATAAGATGCGTGGCTGGCTGTTTCTTCTCTGAACAGAAAAACAAGCCCTAGGATAGACTCTTAGAAGGAAAAAAGAAAAAAAGTACATCATAAGTGCAAGTTTGCCGGGCCATGCCGCGGCCATCACCCCCAAGTTGAACGGTGTTCAAAGAACAAGTGGGACGCCGTCTGGTAAGTAATTAACAGAACGCCTGACCAACATTCGGGATCAGGGACCAGGGTTGAATCAGGCCGGGATCTCACACCGACAATTATCATATTTAGGGCCCACCCAGGTGCAATTTGAACACCCAAGTGTTGAATTGCACATAGGTGGACCTAAAATTTAATTTACTTCTAGTACTTTTGGTCCCACTGATTTTGTACCACGCAACTATAATATACCCCCCCCCAAATAGAAGCCTTGAAATCCCCAAGGAGAACGGTTGAAACCACAGCGAAGCAGAACCATCTTGCAATATTGAGGTATTCCAAGTGCTTTCACATTGAGGTCAAAGACCATTGTGACTGAATGGAAGGAGAATGAGGGAACTCCAGTGCACGGCGGAGAGTCAGCATGAAGAACAGTTGGGTTTGTGAGACAGCAAAAATGGAAGGTTCTTTATACTTTGGAGGAAGCCTGCATCACAGTGGGAGATTTGGGCACATATGAGTACTTTGGAGCTGCGTAATAATGATTGCCGCACATGGGACTCACCTGATAAACAGCATACCCTGAACCTGGCCTGAACTCCACGGCCCAGACTCCCGGCACAGTTGTACAACATCTGGAATTCCGGACAGGGCGTGAGATTTCAAAAATAGCACCAACCGGAGATATGATTGGTGCTGCAGTAAGATTGTTTGTAGACAGAGCACTGTGCAGTTGTGCGCAGGTCATTTGATCGAGGAGTACCGTAGGACAAAGACCCAGAACGAGATGACACCAGACAGAGAAAAGTCAACAACATCTGAATGAGAAGAAAGAACAGTTAATCCCAGTTTGACAAGTAGTTTTCAATTGATTCCACAGTTAGTGGGCTCTGCCACAAAGCACGCTACAATTGTTATGCGAAATGAACAGTTGATCTTGTACTGTATC